TACTGGTGACTGAATTCTCTATCCAATTGTTTGAACCCAAGGCAAGGAGCAGGAACAGAAGGCTGATGCAGGAACAGACTGCTACACCAATATGCAGGGCATTCATTTCTACAGAGTGCTCTGGTCTGTCACCACCAAATGGTCTGTTGATGGAACTGGAGGAAAACATTGATTTTATGTTATTGATACTTCCTTATTTTGATCATTTATGGTTATACATCTTAATTGCTTTGTATGTTAAGAATTTTATTGGGTGATTTTAGTGCATGGTAAACTCCCTGGGAAAATTGAACTTTCAAGTAGGTATTTGAGTAGAAGGCCTTACCAGAAATAAGAGTCTGGGTTCCATGTTTAACATGGCCAGTTTCTTCCACAAGATATTTCTATTTATGAAGTCAAAAGCTATAAGGATGGTAAACAATTTCTTGCCAATGGTTGTATATTCCACAGTGTGCTGTAGAGTAAAACAGTTGTCTATTGTGGAACATCCCAGTCTAAATCCAGCCTGTTCTTCCACCAAGAGGTTTTTTTTCCCCCCACATCCAGTCCTATATCTTGCTCAAAAGATGTTTTGCATACATTTTGGCGACTGTATAAATAAGACGGATGGGCCTATAGTTTTGGGAATCTTCCTTGTCTCCTTTTTTGTATATGGGGACTAGATGGGAATTTTCCATTCTACTAGGATGTGGCCTCTGTTATTTATGTAAGAAGTCAGTCCTGCCAGCAATGGGACCCACCAGTCAGTATGTATCCTAAAGTGTTCTGGAGTTAGAAAGTCTTCACCGGGCATCTTGTTAGACTTCAATGTCTGAATATTAATATTAATAATAATAACAGACAAGCATCTGCCACACAACACCCCAGACCTAACAATTGTTGATAAGAAAGACAAGAAAGTCTGGATAGTGGACATTGCAATACCTGGAGACAAGGAAGATTCCCCAAACTATAGGTCCATCCGTCTTATTTATACAGTTGCCAAAATGTATGCAAAACATCTTT